GATGATTGTGAACCAGCGGTTGTTCATTGTGATCTAAAACCAAGTAACATTCTGCTTGACAAAGACTTAACTGCTCATGTTGGAGACTTTGGAATATCAAGACTTTATTCTCGTACAATTGAAAATTTATCTGGAGAACAGACAAGTACTATTGAACTAAAGGGGTCAATTGGTTATGTTCCACCGGGTAAGAATACTATTTATACAAGTTTTAACTTCATATCTAGGCTAAGAGAAAATAAAACCATATTCATATATCGTACCTTATGTTTATGAAATTCTTTCCCCAACTATGAAAAAAATGCTCTATTAATTATCATGTTTGATTTATTCTTCTTCATAAATTATTTGGTCCTAGAATACGGGATAGGAGCAAAGGCATCAACATGTGGAGACGTTTATGGCTTTGGAATCCTTTTGTTGGAAATGTTCACAGCAAAGAGGCCCACCGATGATTTATTCAATGGCGAAAGTAGCAGTCTTTGTGAATATGTGGAGATGGCGTTGTCGGATGAGGTTAGGAAGATAGTAGACCCATTGCTAACAACATGCCTAGGAAGCAGTCATGGAATAACACTGGATTTAGAGTCGGACAATCATGAGAATTTGGTGGAAATTGAAGAGAGTAAGGTGCATAGCTTCTTTCTCTCCATCTTCAAAATTGGGCTCACATGTGCTTCTAGATCTCCAATGGATCGCATGCATATAAATGATGTGTCTAGGGAATTGCAGAAGATTAAAAAGGCCTTCTTCCCATAAAAATAAGCAAACATATCTTGTGACACAATTTCTCCATGGGTGAACTAGCTAGCAATTAAGAAAAGCTTAAATTTCTTTTGATGTAAACGTTTTCTTGGATTCTGCTTTTGTTGTATCATGGGGAACAAGCTGCAAATGTTTTCTATGTTCTTACATTAAGTGTTGTGTTTGTTTTAAATCTTGTATATCAATTCGAGTACAAAATTTACTTTGCTGTCAATCCATGTATACTGATCGTTTTGAAAAAAAGTATTTATTTTTATTTTTTGAAAATAAACCAGCTCATCTATTAATTTAAAAAGTGACAAATACAAGAAGACCAGGAATAGTATCAAATTTAACTAAACGACCAGACTGAGAATCAATCGCCCTAACAAGGGTGTGGGTTAACATATTCGCTAACTGTCAATCCATGTACATTTCTCTTTTAGCCAAGACAGTGGCTCTGCCGTTTCTGATTTGATCTGCGGATGCCAGACGTTATGCCATGGAACCGTGTTCACCATACACGGTTCCAACGGTGTTAGTGCACCGTTATCTTTTTTTTTTTTTTTTTTTTTTTTTTTTTTTTTTTTAATTACGTGACTGCCTACACATTCACTTTGGAACCATGCCTACACATTCACTTTGGAACCATGAGATTATGAATTTTCTGTTATGAGATTATGAATTTTCTGTTATGAGATTATGAATTTTCTGTTATGCGATTATGAATTTTCTGTTATGAGATTATGAATTTTCATTACATTCATAATTTCGGAGTTTCGGACATTCATAAATTATGAATTCATGCATGCACATTCACTTTGGAACCATGCCTACATATTCCCGTCCGAAATCACGGACATTCATAAATTATGAATCCATGCCTGCACATTCACTTTGGAACCATGCCTACACATTCACTTTGGAACCATGAGATTATGAATTTTCTGTTATAAGATTATGAATTTTCTGTTATGAGATTATGAATTTTCCATTGTGAGATTATGAATTTTCTGTTATGCGATTATGAATTTTCTGTTATGAGATTATGAAATTCATAATCTTATAACAGAAAATTCATAATTTGATCAGTAACGCGCCGTTAACTCCACATCCGCGATTTTTTTTTTTGCCTAAAAACGACGTCGTTTTGACTTGTGTTCACCATTCTCGGTGAACACGATTCCACGGCATAATTTGCGTGCGGATGCAGCCACCAGCTCCAAACAACAAAAATATGGGCCCTACCAGTTGTTATACCAGGGCCACCTTGCAAGGTGAACATTGGTCCTAAATTGTGTATTTTTAGTATTAGAATTATGAACTTTTAGAATATAAATTGTGTTTTTAAGTTTTGAGAATTTGTGAATATAATACAGTATCATTATAAATTGTGAATTTTTAAAAGGTAAATTATGAACATTTAGAATGTAAATTGTGTATCTTTGGATCCGGGTCCACAGAATAATATGTTGGGCCCTACGGAGAAAAAAATTTTGATTTTTTTTTTTCTCTTTAGTTCATTCTTATCGGACCAGTCTAAACATAACTTTTTCAATCGTTATGTCATAGAACCGTGTTCACCATCCATGGGTGAACACGGTCCCAACGGTAACGGTGCACCGTTATCTTTCTTTATTTATTATTATTTTTTATTTTTTTTAATTAACCGCGCGACTTTTCTTCTTCATTTTCACATTTCGCGGTTTCACTTCCTCTTCGCGCAAGTTTCTTCAACATTCATAAATTATGAATGTGCAGGCATGGATTTATGAATGTGCAGTTATGAAATTATGAATTTTCTTTTATGAGATTATGAATTTTCTGTGAAATTATGAATTTTCTGTTATGAGATTATGAATTTACAGAAAATTCATAATTACATAACTGTAAATTCATAATCTCATAACAGAAAATTCATAATTTAATAAATATTTTTATTTTATGAGATTATGAATTTACAGTACATTCATAATCTCATAACAGAAAATTCATAATCTGAACAAACGCGGGCCGTTAACAGCACATTAACTATTTTTTTTTTCCGTAAAAACGTCACCGTTTGGACCCGTGTTCACCATAATGGTGAACACGTTTCCAGGGCATAATTTGCGTAGCTTTTTTGATAAAGCCTAGTTTATAATCCATCACTCGTTATGCTGTGTCGGTTCTATGTTCATAATTATTGAACTATATTTTCATAATTATAAAGCTATATATTCATAATTTTGAACTTCATATTCACAATGATTGAATCTCTATATTCATAATTTCATAACAATATGTTCACAACTCTATGTTCATAATTATAGAACTATATGTTCATAATTTTTGAACTATATATTCATAATTATGAACAGTTTTAGAACCATGTCTCCTTGCAAGATGGACATGGTTCGACAACATAATTTGCCATAATCCATTGTTTTTTAATTAAGTTTTTTCCCCCCTCAATTTCTTTAGTTTGTTCAAGTTGGAATTGGTTGAATCAAACAATAAAATTTTATGTCTTGACTCATAGACCATTTTTTTTAAATGAAGTTTTTTTTTTTTTTTTTTTTTCAAATTTTAAATATTTTATAAGAAATAATTTTATTTTTTAAATGACCAAACATAAAATGACAAGTGTTTTTTTTCAACCAAACATAGTAGATAATTTTCTAACTATTAGCCAAACACTAAAGAAAATAATATTTTATGAAAAATGGGTGGTCAGGCCCGAGTAAAGATATTGATTCTTTGGATTGAAAAAAGATTGAGAAAATAATCAAAATATAAGACAGATAGTTAGATACTACCTTTTAAAAAATTATAAATATTTAAAAAAACTTACACAGTAAATGTTTTCATAATTTAATAAATGTTTTTCTTTTATGGGATTATGAATTTTCTGTTATGAGATTATGAATTTACAATACATTCATAATCTCATAACAGAAAATTCATAATCTGAACAAACGCGTGTCGTTAACAGCACATTAACTAATTTTTTTTCGTAAAAACGTCACCGTTTAGACCCGTGTTCACCATTCATGGTGAACACTTTTCCAGGGCATAATTTGCGTAACTTTTTTGATAAGGCCTAGTTTATAATCCATCAATCGTTATGCTATGGAACCGTGTCCACCTTGCAAGGTGGACACGGTTCTGTGTTCATAATTATTGAACTATATGTTCATAATTATAAAGCTATATATTCATAATTTTTTAACTTCATATTCACAATTATTGAATCTTTAAATTCATAATTTCATAACAATATGTTCATAATTATGTTCACAACTCTATGTTCATAATTATAAAACTATATGTTCATAATTTTTGAACTATATATTCATAATTATGAACAATTTTGGAACGGTTCGACATCATAATTTGCCATAATCCATTGTTTTTTAATTAAGTTTTTTTTTTCTCAATTTCTTTAGTTTGTTCAAGTTGGAATTGGTTGAATCAAACAATAAAAATTTATGTCTTGACTCATAGACCATTTTTTTAAATGAAGTTTTTTTTTTTTCAAATTTTAAATATTTTATAAGAAATAATTTTATTTTATAAATGACCAAACATAAAATGACAAGTGTTATTTTTTTTCAACCAAACATAGTAGATAATTTTCTAACTATTAGCCAAACACTAAAGAAAATAATATTTTATGAAAAATGGGTGGTCAGGCCCGAGTAAGGATATGATATTGATTTTTTGGGTTGAAAAAAGATTGAGAAAATAATCAAAATATAAGACAGATAGTTAGATACGGAGCGTTATGCTGTGCATCCGTATGCACCATGCAGGGTGCATACGAATGCACAGCATAATTTGCCGTTAGATACTACCTTTTAAAAAATTATAAATATTTTAAAAAACTTACACAGTAACAAAATACGTAAGAAGTCGAAGAAATTAATGACAAAAAATATAAAACAATACTCCGTATAAAACTAACTGAAAAAGGAAACACAGCACGTTGTATTTGCCTCCAGTTTCTAATTAAGTCCAAAATCGACTAGTCAAAAACCTACTGATAATTAGAATTCTCAAAAGGTGGCTGAGTCCATTTTGGGCTGCAAATTTATTTATTCATACTTATATTATAAGCTCAACAAAATCAAATTGAAGTAGTAAATTAGAGTACAATAATGTCATAAATTGACTTAACTCCTAAAGTATCATAAAAGAAATTTTGTCGATCTGTCGTATTTTACATATATATATGGAAACTCATGAGTGAATTAGTTTATCATAAGCTTTATTCATGCAAACCCAATCATTGATCGAGTTGTAGAGATTGAGGTGATGAAGATGAGGCAAGAGAAAGCCATATCATCACTCTCTTATTATTTTTCATCATCACCTGCACTTAGTATTCTTCTTCATCTTGTGTTTTGCCTATTATGTCTTATCCTTCCCAGTTTCACTGCATTATCGACAATAATTCCACTCTCAAATGAAACCGATAGAATTTCCCTTTTAGATTTTAAACACCAGATTTCTTATGATCCTCATGGAGTATTACTTAACTCCTGGAATGATTCCGTGCATCACTGCAATTGGGCTGGAGTGAGTTGCGGTCATGGACACCGACGAGTTGTGGCTTTGGAGCTTCCTGGGAAGGGCTTGGTTGGCACCATATCTCCTCATATTGGAAATCTCACATTCCTCAGGGGGTTTGATCTTAGCGCTAATGAAATTCACGGTGGAATTCCCAGCGAAATTGGCCGTTTGTTTCGACTAAGATACCTCAACTTGTCTATCAATGCACTGACCGGAGAATTGGCGGCCGTCAACCTGAGTAGCTGTTTACAACTCAGGCAAGTCAACTTTTATCAAAATGGCCTCCATGGGAAGCTTCCTGTAAAGCTTGTTTATTTGCCGGAGTTACTGTTACTCAATCTGGGTAATAACCAGTTGACCGGTGAAATCCCTCCAGCTTTTGGGAATTTTTCATCGCTTCGAGTTTTGGCCTTGTTGTACAATCATTTGGAGGGGAGTATTCCTGATGAGATTGCACAAATTTGGGGTTTAAAAGCTCTTTCACTTGCTGTAAACAATCTGTCTGGTAATCTTCCTTCTGCTTTCTTCAATAAGACTTCAATTACATATTTTTCAGTGACAGCAAACTCACTTCAAGGAACCATTCCCAGCCACATAGGAGACACCATGCCAAACTTGAAAGATTTCTTTTTTGGTGCCAACAAATTCCATGGAACCATCCCTGTTTCATTTCCCAATGCCTCTAAGCTTCAAAATCTTGAGTTATCACAAAACTATTTTGTAGGCAAGGTTCCTGGTAATCTTGGAATGTTGAAAGATCTTCAGCGTTTGAACCTTGAGCTCAATTTGCTTGGTGGCAATGATCCCCTCACTGACTTGGCTTTTATAGCCTCTCTGTCAAATTGTAGCAATTTGAATGCATTTTCAATTCAAACAAATAGATTTGAAGGTAAATTGCCAGACACCATAGCTAACCTCTCATCCAAGCTCTCTTTATTATTTCTCGGGTGGAATAAGTTATCTGGAACGATACCAGTAGGAATAAAAAATCTAGTTGGCTTGACGGGTTTAAGTTTTCGAGAAAACCTCTTGTCGGGTGTTATTCCTGGTGAGATAGGTGAGTTGCAAAAACTACAAAAACTGTATTTAGGTGTGAACCAATTTTCTGGAAAAATACCACCATCACTTTTTAACCTAACTTCTCTATCTTCACTGTATATGGACAACAACAATTTAGATGGCAATATACCTTCGAGTGTGGGAAACTTTTGGAATTTGAATGAATTGGTCTTGTCGAGTAACAGACTTACTGGCACCATTCCTCAACAAGTTTTCGAGTTGCCTTCTTTGTCTAAGTACCTTGATCTCTCTAGTAATTCATTCACTGGCTTTTTATCTCCTGCCGTAGGCAAATTGAAAACACTGAATGTGTTTGACGTCCCAGGAAACAAATTATGGGGCAAAATTCCAGAAACAATTGGGGATTGTTTAAGCCTTGAATATCTTGATTTGCATGCTAATCTCTTTGAAGGAAAAATCCCACCTTCTTTGGTTTCCTTGAAAAACATTAAGTATTTGGATCTCTCAAACAACAAGTTGACTGGAGAAATACCGAGAGAATTCCAAAAGCTCCCTCTTTTGCAATACTTAAACCTTTCTTTCAATGATCTAGAGGGTGAGGTGCCAAAAGATGGAGTGTTTGCAGTGGCAACCAATGTATCATTACTTGGAAACAAAAATCTATGTGGTGGTATACCTGAGCTAAAGCTTCCTCCATGTCCGGTGAAAAAACCAAAACATAGAAAGCATCTAAAGCTACTTATGATTGTTCTTTTCACGTGTGTTAGTGTGGCTCTGGTCCTTGCATCCTTTCTATTGTTGCACTGGAAGAAGGATAAAAAGAAGCAGTCTTCTAAGCTATCCAATGTTGAAAAGCTATCCAAGATAGCTTACAACGACTTGCACCGAGCAACCGGTGGCTTTTCCGAGACAAATTTGATTGGTTCGGGAAGCTTTGGCTCTGTTTACAAAGGAAGATTTGAGCAAGGTGGGAAACAAACATATGCAGTAAAGGTACTTGACCTCCTAAAGGATGGTGCTTCAAAGAGTTTTCTTGCAGAATGTAAAGCGTTGAGGAACATACGCCACCGAAATCTCGTTCCAATTTTGACCTGCTGCTCGAGTTGTGATTTTGCAGGTAATGAATTCAAAGCTCTAGTTTATGAGTTTATGGAAAATGGGGATTTGGATACGTGGTTGCATAATCATTCAACTAATGCAAGGACAAATGTTCTAAGTGTTCTTCAAAGATTAAACATTGCAATTGATGTTTCTTCAGCATTGCATTATCTCCATGACGATTGTGAACCAACAGTTATTCATTGTGATATAAAACCAAGTAATATTCTTCTTGACAAAGACTTAGTTGCTCACATTGGAGATTTTGGGATATCAAGGCTTTATTCACAAATAATTGAAAATTCATCTGGAGAGCAGACTTTTTCAATCGGATTAAAGGGATCCATTGGCTACGTTCCACCAGGTAATAATATTATTATAGCTTTGAATTGCCACATATTTCCATCATTATCTATATGAGAAAATCAAAATCATAAATCATATTTTTATGGGATATACATACTATACAGCCATGCTCAAAGGCATTTGGTTTGTTTTTCATGACAAATTATTTGAATTTAGAATATGGAATGGGAGCACATGCATCAACTTTAGGAGACGTATATAGCTTTGGAATCCTTTTACTGGAAATGTTCACCGCAAAGAGACCCGTGGATGATTTGTTTAATGATGGTTGTTGTAGTCTCTATGATTACGTTGAGACAACGCTACCAAAGCAAGCGATAGAGATAGTAGACCCATTGCTTTTAGCCTGCCTAGAAAGCCAGCATGGAACAAAACCAGATGAAGAGCTGAGCAGTCAAGGCAATTTGGTGGGGATTGAAGAGAGCAAGATGCACAGTTTCTTCTTCTCTATCTTCAAAATTGGACTCACTTGTGCTTCAAGATCACCAATGGATCGCATGTATATGCATGATGTGACCAGGGAATTACACAAGATTAAAAAGACCTTCTTTGTATAAAAAAGACCAATTGTGTTAAGTTTGAAGTTTGCTGTTTAATTAGCCTTAATATATGTTTTGACCAATTGTGTTAAGTTTGAAGTTTGCTGTTTAATTAGCCTTAATATATGTTTTTCGCTGTATAAAAAGACCAAATCGCTAGTGGAGAGAATTGAAGCATGTGCTCCATCTCAAGTACATTAATGCTCAATATGCTCAACACGCCCATCGCTTATAGGGTATGCGTAGATACCAAATTGAAGCATGTGCTCCATCTCAACTAAAAGCCTAAGCTTATAGTTGGATTGCACATTAATGGTTATATGCTCAACAGAGAGATACCTAGAGGATTCCAAAAGCTTCTTTCCTTGAAACATTTGAATCTTTCCTTCAATGATTTGAAAGGAGAGGTGCCAACAGTTGGAGTTTTTGCAAAGGCAAACAGTATATCATTGTTAGGAAACAGGAAACTTTGTGGTGGTGTACTGAGCTAAAGCTACCTCCATGTCCTATGATGACAAGAAAACATAGAAAACATCTCAAGTTATTATTGGAAGTAATCTTCATATGTGGTAGCATAGCAAAGGTTACGTTGAACATTATATTGCAATTGATGTAGCTTGTGCATTGCATTACCTCCATGATAATTGTGAGTCGATGGTTATTTATTGTGATCTAAAGTTAAGTAATATTATGCTTGACAAAGACTTAACTGCTCATGTTAGAGACTTTGGTATATCAAGACTTTATTCACATACAATTGAATATCCAATTGGTGAACAAACTAGTACCATTGGATTAAAGGGGTCAATTGGTTAATTATGTTCCACCAGGTAAGATTAATATTGTCATAAAACTTCACCATTTGTTTCCATAACTAGCTAGCTTAAGAGAAAAAAGTCACATTCATATATCCTATCTTATGTTAAAAGAAGTTCTTTCCCAAAATTTAAAATTCTCTATATATTAATATTTTTTCATTTAATTTGCTTTGTTTGTTTTCACAAATAATTTGGATTTCGAGTACGGAATAGGAACAAAGGCATCAACTTTAGGAGATGTGTATAGCTTTGAAATCCTTTTGTTCGAAACGTTCACAACTAAAAGACTCACTGATGCTTTATTCATGAATGGTGAATGTTAGAGTCTCTATGAGTATGTTGAGGCAGTATTTTCGAAGCAAGTGATGGAAATTGTTGATCCATTGCTTCTAGCATGCCTAGAAAGCAACTTTAATTTGGAATAAGACAAAATGAAGAGTTGGAGAATCATGCCAATTTGGTGGAAATTGAAGAGAGCAAGACCCACAACTTCATTGTCTCCATCTTCAAAATTGGGCTTGCTTGTGCTTTAACATCACCAATGGACCGCATGCGTATGAATGAAGTGAGCAGGGAATTACACAAAATTAAGAAGGCATTCTTTGCATAAAATTAGCAAACATGTCTTGTGACATACAATATCTTCATGGGTAGAAATTAAGAAAAGCTTGTTTTCCAATTTGCCAAATATATGTTGCTCTAAATTTCTTTAATTTTGATTTAAACTTTTCTTGGATTCTTCTTTGATTTTGTTGTAGGATGGGAACAAGCTCCAAGTATTATCTATGTTCTTATATTATCCAAGTATTATTTACGAGAGAATTTTCTGTAGACAAAAATTTCAAGTAAATACCTTGGTAAAATTTCTCATAAAAGCAATCTGAGATATTTGACTTTTTTTTTTTTAATCTCAAAAGTTCTGATTTGATCATCATTGTTGTTTAGTAAGAAAAATTAGAAACATTTAGCACATTGTGCCGTGTTTTACACCCTTAAAGACTGTGATTAAGTATTCTCAGGTTCCTTTTACAAGACCCAGGTTCTAGATCACCAGCACATAAGTGAAGTGTGCAGGGAATTGCAGATGATTAAGAAGATATTATTTGCATAAAATTTAGCAAACATATTTTGTGACATGCAAAATCTCCATGGGTGAACCAGGTTGCAATTTATAAGATAAGTTTGCTGTTCAATTACCCTAATATATGTTCCTCTAAATTTATTTTGATATAAACTAAAAGTTTTTTTGAACCCTGTTTTATTATATGAAGGGGAAAAGCTTCATCAAATATTTTATGGAGTAAATGTTTTTTTGTTTTGTTTTGTTTTGTTTTGTTTTGTTTTTTTTTTTTTTTTTTTTTGAAAACGAAAGATTAATTCATTGAATCACAAGCAAGAATGTTTACCAGAAAAGATGAAGAAGAATCTAACCATTTCTCGCAACGTGATTCAGAAATGGCCTCCCTAACAACTAAATGAGCGACGCAATTCGCAGATCCCTTGACAAAACGAAATTCAACATCACCAACCGTAGAAGCTAAATCTTTTACATCATCGATTAAAAAACCAAAAACAAAATTAAAACAAGTATTAATGGCATGAAAAATAATTTGGGAATCCATTTCAACATCCAGATTGCCTAGACCTGTGTCCTTGAGCAAACTAAGAGCTTCACGTAAACGGAAAGCCTCAGCCTCTTTTACCGCATAACTCCCCGGCATACACATATTTTTAGCTGCAAAAAATCTTCCATCATCATCTCGCAACACCCAACCATGACCCCATCACATAATTATTTCCTTGATTAAATGCAACATCTGTGTTCATATTTAACTTTCCACGTGCTGACCTAGTCCAGTGAGTAAGTGCAGGCTGCGAAATATTCATATTTTACGGAGTACATGTTTTTATATTGGCTTGATTGACAATAATTAGCTATTAGAGATTATTAGTTAGCTGATCGTGTTAGCTGTTAGTTGTTAGTTGGTTTGACCAACCGATAATATTAGTTAAAATAACTTGAGACATCCTTTTTTAGATTCATAGATTCTTCTTTCAAACTCGAGTTTCGATTCAACTTTATCTAGAAAAAATTGTTAAAAGTACTTATTGCTCCATTCACTAGATTAAATTTAAGATTTTTAATTCATCGCTAATGTTACATTTACATAGTTTCTAATTGGAACATTATTATACGTGCATTCTCTCTCACACACACATGTACACACAGACCCTCTCTGTTTTATTGGTCTTGTTTGGTAAAATAGTTATCATATTCGCCAATTGTAGTTTATTTGACCACTATTAACTGTTTAACTTGGTTAAACAACAATATCAGTGTTTGATTAATTAACTTTTTGTAACAACTTATTTCTCCAAAATGCTAAAATTCAAAAAAACTACTCAAATGTAATAACTAATTTACTAAACACTATTTTACAATCCGCTAATGCTATTAAAGTAGTCAAACCTACTAACCCAGTCAGCTATACAGCTATCAGCTAACAACCATTTACCAAACACCCCATTGTCTTTCAACTCTTCTTCTTTTATTGATCTTTATGAGATAGCGAAGTCCCAAACAACGTCCTGAGACCTGGTTCTGGGCCAAATAAGTCAATATTCCAGCAAGAATTAATTGAAGATAATTTTAGCTCTTGATTTTTTCTAATATAAGAGGCCATATATAGAGACAATGACTTGATCAAAATTTCTCATTGAATTTTCTAATATAAAAGGTCCTACACATGACTTTGATAAAATTTTCCTATTGAATTTTCTAATATAAAAGGTCCTAGACAATCACTTTGAAGAAAATCATACTGATTTTTCAAATGATTTAAATTAAAGTGTCATTTACAGTATGTTAGGAAAATTGTATTAGGATTTTGATGATACCAATGTAATGTAGAAAAGTAGACCCCTAACCATTAGCTGTTTTTGTTTCGCTGCTTTCGTCTTAGACGAGAGTTGCCATAACTCCTTTGTAATTCGTGTTAAGCTAGACAAACACACGAAAATGAGTTATGACTAGATGATAGGGTCTCCAAGGCGAAAGAAGACACGAGACATGAAGAACAACAACAAGAGTCAAGCAGGAGTTGTCAACAAACACGAAAGGACAGTGTTTGTAAAAGACGATCTTCATTAAACATTACTTCTCTTCAACAACGAGAAGAATGTTTCACCTGTCTAATTTGACAACATCCTAGGACAATAAGGACTTCATCTTATAGGACTCACTTTTCAAGGAGCATTAAATGAGGATGTACTATCTCTTGGAGCTAAAGGACAAAACCCTAATGCTATCCATACTTTCAACGGCTACATGGTACAACTTCATTAATGGAGCATTTAATGCATGAAGCTCCCCGGTCCTTGTCCAATGGTTAAAAGGTTCGAAAATTTTATCTCCCTCCAACGGATGAATTTTCATCACCTATATAAACCCACCTTCATCAACTAAGAAGGTGATGGTTCATTATCACTCGACTTACTCACGTACAAAAGCTCTTGAAACATCTACAATTTGCAAAAAAGCTTTTGTGAACCAGTTTCTGAGGTGTTAAGTCATTTGAAGAATCACTTGTCTTATACCTCAAGGAAGTCTTGACATCAGTTTGCAGCTATTATATCTCAGAGTCAAGATCTCTTCGTTGGAGAACTCAAGAAACCTTTTTTCTACCAACCTCAACTCAGGAGAAGAAGTTGATAGAGGCGGAGTAAACTCAAGGAGTTGAAAAACCTACGAAGGCTGTCCGGCTTAGTGATCAAGGAAGTCTTTGTGTAATTGTACTAAGAGTGATAGTGCAATCCTTCCAACAATTGTGGAAGAAGAGTGGAGTAGGCAACATTGGCCGAACCACTATAAAATCTCGTGTCCTCTCTATCTCTTTACTTACGTTCTTTCTTTTTGCTTTCATATCACCTCCTCATCATCCTTACCGAAAGTTTGTCTAAATACGCAAACTCGTGCAAGTATTTAAAACGAATCTATCTTATCCGCTGCGCCAAGACACCGAAAGGTGACGTTTAGGGCCTCTAACGAAAAGAGTCTATTCACCCCCCCTCTAGACTCTCATCTCACTCTATCGGGACCAACACAGTATCTTTGGTTTAAAGAATAGGTTGAGAATGGAGTAAGATTTTTGAGATTAGACCTATTTAAATCGTCTTAGCTTCCATTTTAGTCTAATTGGTACTTGAATTTAAATATTAATGATTTTTAATTCCATACAAATTTTCAACATTCTATTAAATTTAGGCTCTTATTCCTTCTAATGCCAAGAAATGATATTCATTAAGTATGTAGTCAGCTATATA